GCACACCACCACACCTGGCTAATTCTTTATTATTTTTGCAGAGACAGGCAGGGTCTTGCTCGGTTGTCCAGGCTGGTCTTGAATGCCTCAAGTGATCCTCCCACTATGGCCTCCCGAGTTGCTGGGGTTACAGGCATGAGCCACTGCACATGGCCCTAGTTTATATTTATTAATTGGTTTAACCCTCCCAGCAATTTAAAGATACAATTCCTGATATATAGGTGTCAGAATTTGAGACTGAAGAGTATTGAGTGATAATTCATTTCTCACCTCTCTGGAAGGAGGTGTAATGATAAGCATAGAAAATACAGAATTTTTGGCTGGGCGCGGTGGCTCAAGTCTGTAATCCCAGCACTTTGGGAGGCCGAAACGGGCGGATCACGAGGTCAGGAGATCGAGACCATCCTGGCTAACACGGTGAAACCCCATCTCTACTAAAAAATACAAAAAAAACTAGCCGGGCGTGCTGGCGGGCGCCTGTAGTCCCAGCTACTCAGGAGGCTGAGGCAGGAGAATGGCGTAAACCCGGGAGGTGGAGCTTGCAATGAGCTGAGATCCGGCCACTGCACTCCAGTCTGGGTGACAGAGTGAGACTCCGTCTCAAAAAAAAAAAAAAAAAGAAAATACAGAATTTTCTATGTACTGACATAACACATATTTTCTTGTGTGTACGTGTATATGTGTTGTGTGTACATAGTGAACAATGGCACAAGAAACATTTAGGCTTAAATTTTTTTAGCTAAGTATTATTTTCTAGAGCTTACCAAAACATTCAAATACATATAAGTATGTAGAATAAGTGTAATGATCTCCTGTATACACTCAACCAGCTTCAGTAATTAACCTATCCTGTGTACACCCTGCCACCTACCAATATTATTATTATTATCATTATTTATTTAGTTTTTTGAGACGGAGTCTCGCTCTTGTTGCCCAGGCTGGAGTGCAGTGGCATGATCTTGGTTCACTGCAACCTCCACCTCCTGGGTTCAAGCAATTCTTCTGCTTCAGCCTTCCGATTTGCTGGGATTACAGGTGCCCACCACCACACCTGGCTAATTTTTTTGTGTTTTTAGTAGCGATGGGATTTCACCATGTTGTCCAGGCTGGTCTCAAACTCCTGACCTCAGGTGATTTCGCCCATCTCAGCCTCCCAGTGCGCTGGGATTACAGGCGTGAGTCACTGCGCCTGGCCTGAATATTATTTTGAAGTGAATTTCAGACATCCTACCATTTCATCCATAAATATTTCAGTATCTGTGTCTAAAAAATGAGAACTTAAAAAAGCACACATGACCATTACCACACTTTAGAAAATGAACAGTTCCTTAATATGGTCAAATACCCAGTCTGTGCCCACATTTCCCGTTGTCTCATGATTAGCATAACTTTTCCCCTCCGTTTGCCTGTTTGAATCAGGATCAAATACTGTGTGCATGTTGCAGTTGGTGGAGACTTCTTCCAAAACTCCTCCAATGAGTAGGTTCCACAACCGTCTTTCTCTCCTTCCCAGGGCCTGTGTTTTGTTCAGAAGCCAGCATTGCTGGTCTGGAGTTTTTTGACTGCCTCCCCTTGGAGTCAGTTGGCACGCTCCTTTGTCTCCTGTATTTTCCTATAAATTAGTGGGTATTTGGAGGCTTGTTTAGGTTTTTAGCTTTTGTTTGGTTTGGTTGGACTCCTTCCTGAGCGGGTCTGTGTGGTTCATCAGGAGGATCCCACCTTGTATTTGTCATTTTGTCCATGTTGGCAGTCTGGACCAGTTAGCTTGTCAGAGGTTGCAAAATGATGATTTTATAGTCCTGTCATTTTTTTTTTTTTTTTTTTTTTGCTGTTATTTAAGATGAGATAATTCTATAAAGAGTAGGTCATGTAGGAAAGGCAAGATAACCCTCTTTATTTACTAATTGTAAAAATAGCAAGTTTTGGTTTAGTAGACTCCTATTAAAATGGACTAATTAGTTTTAGATCATTGTGAACTCTCTGGATTAAATGTACGTGGTGCATTCCGATGGAAGCTGTTACGGTTGCTCCAGTGATCCCATCTTCGGCATGTGGCAGCGTTTCAGCATTTCTCCTGTGTTCTCTTGACATGACATTGACTGCTTCCTGGATTTCTGGTGTCACAGGAAAGATAAAGACGGAAAGATGCTCCAGGCTCGTGTGGTACATTGGTCATCTCTCTAGCAGTCAGGATTTTCAGGAACGCGAACATAATTCCTCATTCTCTTTGGGCTTCCCCAGACAACTCTCAGAAGACATCTCCAGCGCGACTTCCAACAGTGTGACCACCAGAACGAGTTCAATGTGCTTTTCATCTTTAGGGTTTGTCTCACTTTCGGTGATGAACTCCAGTTACTGTGTTTTAAGTCATGTGGAATTGGTCTTCTCTGTGACTCTGCTATCCTGGTGGAGATGTACTTAGATGTATTTCTTTATTTTCAATTTTTAGGGAAATAGTTATGTAACTAGTTAAATATTTATGTGGAACCAGTGTCACATCATCAAAAGAAATTCTAAGAGTCCTGGCTTTGATTCTTAAAGATAAATTCAAAGACTCTATCTTTGTCAGTTTTTTGCCTTGTTTTCTTCTCTTCACCTATAAATGTTTTTTAGTAAGTATTGTTTATATCGTCTCTTTTAAATATAAGCAAATCCATGTGTATGGGTACTTAACATAAGCTCCTGCTTAGATACATGTAGCTTGCCATGCACTGTTTTTCATTTGCCTTTTTAACTTAGGAGCATGTTCTAGAAACCACTCCATAGTGTGGGTTCCAGAACAGGCCTCATTGTGAAACTGTTCCCAGTTTATTAACAGGTCCGCTATTGATAGACGTTGGGATTGAGCCAGTTTCTTGTTTTTGTTTGTTTTATGTGTGTGTGTGTGTGTTGCTATTTAAAAAATAGTGCTGTATAGTCTACATCTATCTTTTTCTTATTTCTTGTCAATGTATTTTTGGGATAGATGCCTAGAAAGGAGGATTGCTAAGTCAAAAGGGTAATGTGCATGTAGTTTTGCTAAAGGTTGCCAAATTCCCATCCATAATAAGTGTGCCACCAGCAATATATGTGAGTGCCTCTTTCCCAACAGGGTGTTGTCAAACTTCTGGATGTTCGCCAGAGAGGCACAGCTTGGTTTTTGAATACATCGGATGTAATCAGGATGTACAGTTTTTTTGATTCCTAGAGGCTGACTGGGCTCTGAGAACCCTAGAACATTTCCTCAAGAGGCTTAGAGTCTGTTTAGGGGTGATGAGGCTTCCTGGCAGTTCCTTAAATGTCAGTAAACATTGTTCGTGTGCCCGCCTCAGGCCAGGCTCTGTTAGAAGCTGGAGCTGTGTACAGGGAGTCCAGATGGAGTGGCGAGAATGTCACGTCTGTTGAGGATTTGGAGAGGTCACTGGTTTTGGTAAAAAGGTGGTAAGGAGTGGACGCACTGGACTTAGACCTCCTGGGCTTCTGTCTGTACCAGCTCCAAGGTACCTCTCCTCCGTAAGACGCTCAGCTTCTCTGTGCCTGTGGGGTCTTGATAATACCAATCTCGTGGTTCATAGGAGGCGTGATGGTGGTGATGGTGCAGGTGAGGAAGGAGAGGACGCAAGAGAATGGGAGACACCCTGGAGAAGCCAAGGTGGGGAGGGAAGGGAGACGGCCCATGAGGAAGGCCAGGTTTTTAGTTGGGAGAGACTTGAGTATGATGAGTGCTTGGAGGATGCTGGCCCTGATGAGGGAGCGATTGCAGGGACGGGGTGATGCCGATGAAGAGGCTGGCCACAAGGCAGGGGAGAGGCTGAAGGGTGTGTGAAGATGGCGGAGTGGGAAAGACAAGCAAGATGACAGGAAGGGAGGACGTCCTGGCCTTTGCGCCTGAGCCTATTTTCTCTGTAAGCTGGAAAGCTGAACTTTATGGTGATATCTGTTTGGTACTGTTAGAGCGATTTGACCTGCATCTCTGGGCAACCTGCGGGCAGAAGAGGAGAAGGATAGAGGCTTCTGATATCTCCCGGGATTGGCAGTTGGCACGGTGGATGTCTTGTGGGTGACATTATGCCACCAGGATGTCTTAGCTGGGGCTACTGTAACAAAACACCGAAGACTGAGTGGCTTAAACAGTAGTTGTTTATGTCTCGCAGTTCTGGAGGCTGGGAGTCCGAGACGAGGGAGCCAGCGAGGGCAGGCTCAGGTGAGAGCTGTCTTCCTGGTTTACAGACGACTGCCTTCTCGCTGTGGCCTCTCATGGTGGAGAGAGAGAGAGAAAGGCTGGTCTCTTGCCTTCCTGTAAGGGCACTGATCCCATGATGCTCCTCACTGCCATGACCTCATCTAAACCTGACCGCCTCCCAGAGGCCCCACTTCCTCATGCCATTGCACTGGGGTTTAAGGCTTCAGCATACGGATTCGGGGGGACACGCGCATTCAGCCCATAACAGGGTGAGGGTGCAGTTCTTCAGCTGGAGCCCCAGGAGGCTCTTGGGGAGAAAGCGTTTCCTTCCGTGTGGGGATCTAGGCTTTGCTCACCTGTGCTGCGTGGTGATTGTTGTGAATTTTGAGAGGAACTGCTTCTTACCAGTGCCTAGGACTTGACGGATGGTGCCTGGCAGGGTCGGCTACTTGGTGCAGATTCCTGTGCCCATGTCCGGGTGCACGCTGTCCGCTTGGCTCCCTCCCAGCCCTTAGTGGTCCTCACTGTGAAAAGCCAATTTGAGAAAGGCTTTGTTTCACCCAAGGGTGAAATGGCAGGTGTTACCAGTCAGGCAGTGGGGTGGGAATGGATATCTGCAGGGGAGGCTGCATGTACTGGTGGGGGGTGGTGGCCAGTGGTCAGTCAGGTGGCCTTGGGTTGAAAGGCCCACTGACCACCGTGTGACCTGACCAGGGTATGGGATTGCACCCTGCTTCCCTGCCCTTCCAGGGGGGATTACCCTGCATGGGTGTAGCAGGGGGACGGTGGTCTCAGGTTGAATGGCCCACCGACCACCCTGTGACCTGACCAGGGTATGGGATTGCAGCCTGCCTCCCCACCCTTCCAGTGGGGATGACCCTGCAAGGATGTGGCTGGGGGCAGTGGCCTTGGGTTAAATGGCTCACTCACTACCCTGTGACCTGGCCAGGGTGTGGGATTGTGCCTTGCTTCCCTGTCCTTCTGGTGGGGATGATGACTGGCATTTGCTGAGTTCCATGGGACTGTGGAAAGGGCTGTGTCACTGTAGACGCTCCATCAGAAATGCTGATGTGTATTCTTACCACGGGCATCTGTGGGCCGCCATTGTCTCCTGGCATCTGGCTGCCCTTGGAACCCAGCAACACCCAGAGACTTGGGCTCTGATCAGAAGTCCTGCCCAGAGCGAGTAGGGTCACGCCAGAGTGAGGCTGGGGACAGCATGGTCCACTGTGGCCGAGATGTAACTTTTAGTCCTGCCTCCTTATCCGGTTTGGCAGGAACAGGACAGGGTGGTTAGCAGGCTGCAGTGTGGTGGGAGTGAAAGTGTACAGTCCTATGCGGTATTTTTGCACAGCCTGACGGTGGGGTCAAGTTTAGAGCCTTTGAGCTGAGAATCTGGAGAGAGCAGTGGATGCAGATGGGCATTTGCTCGTCCTTGCTGTGAGAAGACAGGCCACGGGGCTGCACGCAGCCCCCATGGGTAAGTGTAACCCCCACCCCACCACTGCCCGCCCACCATGCCTTCCCCACGTAGATGAGCTGCTCCCTCCTGTAAAGTAGGAAAACATGCTACCGCTGGAGAGGATGCCCAACAACAGCTCCTGCTGCCCACGAGGAAGGGACCCTGTGTCCAAGAGAAAACCTGATGGCAGGTAACACATCACCGCTCTCTTGTAGGGACCTCACCCTTTTCTTTTAGGGACCTCATTGGCTTGTCTTGGACCCAAACATAATTAGTGGGGGTGGGGGCGAGGAGAGAAACTCTTCAGTGAACAGGTGTCTTCTTGGGCCAGTTGTTGGATATTGCTTGCCAGCTGGTTGTTAAATTCTAGAAAAACTAATTCTTTTTACAGATTCTAGGTAAAATGTCTCTGTTGCAAAATAGGATTTTTCAATTAAGAAAAGCTTTAAAATGTATCGTGTGTTCCCCCTTAGTCTGCAGTATCTGAATGTCACCTTAAAATGTCAGGGTTAAATTTCTTACGGTTAGTACGTGGGGCAGGCATGAAATTTAGCACAGAAAATTGAGATTGATTACTTTCATTTACTTTCTCTCTTTTGGGGCAGTAACTGTTTAACGTTAAATTTGTATTGTATGTCAGAGCCTCTTTGGAAACTGGAGATATTGATGTGATCTTAAGCAAATGTCTCCATTACAGGAGAGAGGACTGATTTATAAAGTGGAGAACTGAGAGGCAGTTGTATCCGGATGGCTTTTTTCAAAGTAAAGGCCACTCAGCCAGATGAATTCAGAGGCATATCTGGGTTCTCCTGATTGACAGGAACCTGCAGACCAGCTGTGCTCTTGGTCCTGTGGTCTTCCATGGGGGAGGGTATGGGAAGGGCTTTGGTGCACCACAAATGTCTTGGCCTATCTCTTCCAGTGACTTCCCTTTGCTTAGAACTCATACCTGTTTACTCGGAGACTGGAGACTGTGAATTAGATTTTTATTTTTGCACCTAGAAAATCATTTGAAATTGTAGACTATTCCTCTTGAAATCTCATTACATAAAAAGATTTAACAAGCCTCTAGTGAATAAGTTAGGGTGACAAGGAATGAATTATTTGGAGAAGTAAAAAAAAAACACCTTAAAAATTAAAAAAGGTTTTCACAAGTAATAAGAACTTTACAGAATTACTGTGTATACATTAATATCAAAGGGATATACTGATGAGGACCTGAACAACATGGGTGATGAGTGAAAGGTCATTGCCACCCTGAGGTTGGAAATTTGAGGTGCTTGTTGCTTCTTCGGGTTCAGAATAGTTATGATTTATGATAAACCTAAAAGTCAAAATACCAACTTTTCTCTCAAATCATATGTGGGTGGGTTGTGTCCAGAAACAAACAGGAAAACTTCCACAGATGGAATGAAATAGTGGACCAGATATGGTGGTTTTGTTTTGGAAAGGATTTATCTCCATACTTTTGGGGTGGAGGCATTCTAGTCTTGTTTTTCTTCTGAGATGGAAACACTGGCAAACTCAGAGTCTTCCGTGAAGCTGTGTCAAGCAAAAATGAAACAGTAGTTGTCATCCTGTGACAAGTTAATATTTTGTCCATGACATACAGCAATCAGTAGAAATAGATAAGGGATGGGATATTGGAAAATCCCCTGGAAATGAGAAATGGTGGATGACATGTGATGAGAGGAGGAGGATTCAGGGAGCGAAATGAAGACGCTGGCCAGGCAAGCGTCTCAGTGTGGAGGCAGGGCTGCTTACACACTTAAATTGACCTAAATCACGCAGTTATTAATAAATGGGGAAAACACCAGAAAAATCATACTCCATTCCTGTGCCTGTCAGGGCTGTTCTATTATTTTGAAACAGACTTTGCTTACCTTATTGATTGATTGAGACATGGTCTCACTCTGTTGCCTCGGCTAGAGTGCAGGGGCACGATCATGGCTCACTGCAGCCTCGACCCCCTAGGTTCAGGTGATCCGCCCACCTCAGCCTCTTGAGTATCTGGGTCCACAGGCATGCACCATCGTGTCTGGCTAATTTTTTTTTTTTCTTTTGCATTTTTTTGTGGAGACAAGGTCTCGCTACGTTGCCCAGGCTGGTCTCGAACTCTTTTGCTCAAGCCATCTGCCCATCTTGGCCTCCCAAAGTGCTGGGATTACCGGAGTGAGCTACCGCTCCTGGCCTACTTTAAACATCTATAATTTGTGTTCATTGTAGGATTATTCACAGTAGAAACAGGGCGGAAAAAAATGCTCACAGCCTGGCATTTCAAGACGCAATGTTTTAATTCTTGTGTCTGTCATTACAGATGTTCTTTACTTGCTCCCATTCACACCTTAGAACAGAGAGGCTCCTTTGTATAAAGGTATTCATAAGCCTTATGCCCTGCATTTCACACCTGGCAGTATAATAAGTAGAGCATCTTCACCAAATTCTGTCTGTATCGTCTCGAGTACACAGATGTTTCTTAACTAGCCACACTTCTTTGGACACGTAAGTCGTTTCTCAGTTTTCACTATTCTCAGCAACGCAGTGAGGATATTTTCATGATAACCTCATTAGGCTCTTTGTGATGTTGTCCTGGATCTGTCAAAAATTGGTCTGTCAAAAATTTGTTTTTAACAATGATAGCATATTGTTCCAGAAAGTTTGTACCAATTTACCCTCCAAGCAGAATGGACCTCCTTCCCCATCCCCCCACATTCAGGACCTTGCATCTTAGGGGGAGCCTGGCCGCATGGTTGGCATTCCTGAGCCATGCCAGGCTGCTGGAGCGCACGAATTCTTTCACCCCAGCAAGCCCTGCTCCAGCCACCATCTGTGCACTCAGGCTCCATCCCCTGCCCCCTCCCCTCCCACCGGCGGTTTTATTTTTATTTCTTACTCTTTATAAAGATATTGATTATGGACTTTTGGCTGATTTCGGATCTAGAATTACAGAGTGAGATGGAAAAATGACAGAAATGCAGGGAAGAGTCAAAGCACAGTGTGGGAGTTGCCTATGGCGAGATGTCAGAGAGATCGTCATTTTCCTTTAGTCAGTGGAAGATTGGCTTCTCAACAAACGGTGTCTGCTCAGCTTGTTTTGTATAGTAGTTCTGGGAGACCATACCTCTCCAGCCTTCTCTTGTGTGCGTTTGTATGTGGGGCTAAGTGTTTGTTTGTTTTGAGACAGAGTTTCACTCTGTTGCCCAGGCTGGACTGCACTGGCGTGATCTTGGCTCACTGAAACCTCTGCCTCCCAGGTTGCAAGCGGTTCTCCTGCCTCAGCCTCTCGAGTAGCTGGGATTACAGTCATGCACCACCATGCCCGGCTAATCTTGTATTTTTAGTAGAGACGGGATTTTGCTATGTTGGCCAGGCTGGTCTCAAACTCCTGACCTCAGGTGATCCACCCACCTCAACTTCCCAAAGTGCTGGGATGACACGCATGAGCCACCACCCCCAGCCAGTGGGGTGAATTTTTGTGATCATCGTCTGGCTATTGGTTATTACTGGATTTCTCCTGCTGTGTGTCTTCTCTCTTTCCTTCTCTGTGGTGCCAGTTGTTTCTGAGAGCCACAAAACACCAGGTCCCCTTGCTTGAGACTCTAGCTCCGTGGCCCCTAGGCCGCACCTCTGCTGTCTGGTTACTTTCCTAGCTGCATTGTGACAGAGCCCCTGTGGCCGTGCAAGTGTTGCCTTGGCGCCAGTCCTTTCCTGTGGTGGAAAGTTGATCTCAGTCCTCCCAGGGAACTAGTCTTACAGTGTATGCTGAAGGCTGCTTTGTGCTGATGGTTGTCATAGCCACAATTTAGTGGACAGCCACTGTTGCCAAGTATCTTATGTACATTGGTGACCTCTTATAATAATTTACAGAATCCATGCTGTCATTGCCATTGTAAGGATTAAAGTGGCAAATGGTGAATCCAGGTTTGGTGTCCAGGGGTGCCTGATCTTAGAGCCTGTGGATGGGGATTGAACTGGCAGGAGGTACAGATCTCGCAAGCATGCGGAGTGTCTGTGGGACGGGGGACAGCTGTGCAGTCAGCATGAGACTCCAGTTAATACAGAGCGCTTGAGAGCTCATGCTCCCCACATCACAGAATCCAGAACCTGGAAGGGAGCAGTGAGCCCTCACATTGAGGTTATTTCATGACTGTATTAACCTGGCCCCCACCGATGACCCCCCGTGTGAGGGGCACACATTTGTCTGCATGTGAATCCTCAGCTCTGGACTGTTGGGAGTGTCGGAAGCAGTGGCTGGGCAGCTGAGGAGAGAAGTGAAGCTGGGTGGGCAGACATCCAGGCCCCAGGCCCATCAGCCTGAGTGGTTGGGAGGAGGGCTCGGAGCTGGATTGGTGCAAGAATTGGGCTGGACAAAGGCAGTGTCCACCTTGTTGGGTGATGAGGATGGGATTCAACAACTACCTGTCCTCTGGAGATTGAAAGGTTACGATAAGGCTTGTTGGAGGCTTTACAGTCTAAAGCTTCTGTATGGTTTTGTACAAGTCTTGTACCAGTGTACTGAGGAGTCTTGTACCAGTGACAGTAAAACCCTCCATAGGACTACAGGAATGGGATCATCCCACAGCTGCAGTTAACCTCAAATGCAGGTTCACGAGCTGACCAGAGCCAGCTGCTGCAGAGGCTGAGCTCATTCCCAGTCTTGGTGTATCTGAACTCAGGACTGAAAGATTTCGATGTACTGTTGACTTGTCATATGTGCCATGTGATATCCCCTTAGACTGTGCTTTTGCTTTAGATAGGTAGTAGTTACAAGAGCTTTCACGGGAGCCCTTGTGATCTTGGTCACTGTTTCCGTTTCCCATTGCAGCTGTACATGGTTACCCCAGATGCAGTGGCTTCAAACAACACACATTTATTCTGTTACAGTTGTAGAGGTCAGCTCCTAATATCAAGGTGTTGGTTGGGCTGTATTCCTTCTGCAGGCTCCAGGGGAGAATTTGTTTCCTTGACTTTTCCAGCTTCTAGAGGCTGCCCGCATTCCTTGGCTCATGGCCCCTTCC